ATAAACATTGTCTCTTGGCCCCCGCCTCCTTCCATGATCCTATCTGTGTTTACCTCTTAAAAAGTAGAAAGCAGAATCATCCTGCACGAGGTAGTGAACAGTTTTTGTGCCTCTAAATAGCCCTCTGCCTCACAGTCTGACCACGACTTCATCAGTGGATGTTGGGCTAGGTTCTTACATCCCCCAAAACTGATGTAAATTTGCTTATTTTGTGGAGCCCTTAATTTCACTAACTTGGAACACTTGTGGGTTTTTTTGTTTTGTTTGTTTTTGGTGGTGCGAGCCATTGACCCTAGGGCCTAGTCCTGGCCCTCCCCACTCTTCCCTTGGGTTTGAAGCAGGGCTAAGGACACCCTGCCACTGAGCCACACCCCAGCCCCTGAGTTGTATCACATCCATGGAGCGCTTGGGAGAGCTGGTGTCTTTCCCACCAGAACATAGTGTCACACTGTGCTTGTTTGGATTGTCACCAGAGAGCCTCCACCGAGACGCTGGTGCAACACCTGCCAGGTCTACTACACGGGGGACCTGATCCAGCACCGCAGGACGCAGGACCACAAGGTAGAAGGGCTGCATGCCTCGAAGGCACCGCCTCTCCTTCGCGCGAGGCTGGGGAGGGGAGCCAGGATGCCAGCAGAGAGTTAGTGTCTGTCTCCGTGTGTCTGTCCATCAGCGTGGCTTCTGACAAGCCGACCATGCTTCCTCTTTGGGCTCCAGGTTCCCCATCTGTCCATTGTGGGCGTGGCACCAGCTTACCCTGCCATTCCTCCATGGGCATAGGGGTCCTCTGGCGGCTCCCTTGTGTCCTGTCTCTGTCCTCCTCCATTGCCACCTGCCATCCCATCTCAGTGCTCACCACACAGGGGAGAGATATGGTTTTGTGTGTTCCAGGGCAGGGGCAGAGCCTCACTGGCTTTTTATAGATGTGGTGGGCCTTGCTTTTATGGATGATAGGTGAAGCCTTACTGGGCACTGCCTGGTCACTAGTCAGGGGCTTGCACGTGGGGACACTGCCTACCCCACATGGCTTGCTCTTCTTTCCCCAGATCGCCAAACAGTCTTTGCGACCCTTTTGCACCATTTGCAACCGCTACTTTAAGACTCCTCGCAAGTTTGTAGAGCATGTGAAGTCCCAGGGGCACAAGGACAAGGCCAAGGAGGTAATCACACCCTTCCCAGAGGACATGGGCCCAGAGAGGTACAGAGCCTTGGCCAAGGCCACACGGCAGGTTGAGGTTTATCCCAGCCTAATCCATAGCAGTCCCAGAGGGATTCACTGAGGGGTGTGTGGCATCGTGGCTGCCCAGAACTGACCTGAGCCCCTCACCTACTCCCCTGGGCAGCTGAAGACGCTCGAGAAGGAGATAGCTGGCCAAGACGAGGACCACTTCATCACAGTGGATGCCGTGGGTTGTTTTGAGGGTGATGAAGAAGAGGAGGAGGAGGATGAAGAAGAAGAAGAAGAGATTGAGGTTGAGGAGGAATTCTGCAAGCAGGTGCTTAGGGTGGGCTGTGGGAGTCAGTTAGGGGGTCTTCGCTCCACCCCTGGGGGCCTGGTAGTGGGCTGGCATTTGTAGAAACTAATGAATGCCAAGTTGTTTTTTTGTATGTGTGGCGGGGAAGATACTGGGCTTGAACCCAGGAGCACTTTACCACTGACCTACATTCCCAACCCTTTTTATTTTGAGACAGGGTCTCACTAAGTTGCCCAGGCTGGCCTTGAACTTGGGATCGTCCTGCCTCAGCCTCCCAAGTCTCTGGGATCGTAGGCTTGCTCCACCATACCTGGCCACAATTTATTATGAACCCTATTATTCGTATCTGTCCATATGCATCAGGCTAACTGCTGAGTGGCAGGTGGAGCATGCAGGGCTCTGGGAGGCTGGCCTGTGTGGAGGAAGGGAAAGGGTGGGACAGAGTCGGGAAAGGCAGAGGCAGCAGCTAGGTAGTGTGCAGGACTCAGTGTAAGGCGACAGTGATGACGTTAGCAGCTGACATTTCTCGAGCACTTCCTGTTTGCCGTGCTGGGCAGGCACCATGCTCCGTCCTGGCATTTCATCTTATTGGATGACATGAAGCGGGTCTCTGCAGCCCGAGCCTTTGCTGGCCCAGTTCTGCTGCCTCCCAGGAGAATCAGATTCATTGCAGAATCTTGCAAAGAATTGGATTCGTCCCAGTTTAACAGATGTTTCCGGTCCCCTGTTCTGAGCTGGGCTCTGGTGCTAGACACAGGGACAGGTGAGGACCACGGCCTGGTCCTTGCCTGGTTGTCCCCCTTACAGTCCAGGGTGATCCCCGGAAAGGCGCAGCAGAGGGGTTGGTTGTCACTCCTGGCACTCTTTGCCTGGTGAGTGGGCGGGCGCTGCAGACACAAGGGCCCACGGGGCCAGAGACAATGGCCTCTTACGAGAGGGGCTCAGGTCTAGTAGGTGAGATGCGGGTCCTTGAACCCCATCTGAAACCCACCTCAGGACCGAGGTCACTGTAGTTTTGGACAGGAACTCGGGAAGCTGGCGGGGCTCACAGGTGAGTTTGGACTCTGATTTGAGCTCCCGGGGTTCACCACCCCACCCCTCCACAAACCAGCAAGTGAGTTATATCTCCAGGGCCTCAGTGTCCTCTAATGTGAAATGGGTGCAACCATAGAGGGCTGTCATGGGTGACACGTTGTGTTGAGCAGACTTGGTGTGGATTACGCCACAGCAGGAGCAGGGGGGCTGCCTGGAGGAGGGGACCGATTGAGTGGAGGCTAGAAAACACAAACCAGCAGGGCCTCTGGGAGCAAGAGGAGCATGTCAAGGCTCAGCAGATGCCACCCACAACAGCCTGGAAGTCCAGGGGATGTTGCATTTGAGGACATGGGTGGGCTCCAGGCTACTGACCTGCATCTGGGAGGGGTCTCAGGGAGTCAAATTCAAGGTACACGCTTGCATGTCTCCAGGTGAGGTCCAGAGATATATCCATAGAGGAGTGGAAGGGCTCGGAGACCTACAGCCCCAACACTGCATACGGTAAGAGCCCGGCCCTGGGCCTGCACACAGGGGCTGCTGGGGCTCGGCCTCCCGGCACCCCCAGATTCCAGCCCAGACACTCTGGCCAGACAGCCTATGCCCTGCTTTTTCTTGGCTCTTCTACTCCTGCCTAGAAGGTGGGGAGCAAATGGGCCCCTAGGGAGGGCGGACACCTGGCTGGTTCCAGGGATGTGTGTGGACCCTGCTGTCTGTCCCTCAGGCGTGGACTTCCTGGTGCCTGTGATGGGCTACGTGTGCCGCATCTGCCACAAGTTCTACCACAGCAACTCGGGCGCACAGCTCTCCCACTGCAAGTCCTTGGCCCACTTTGAGAACCTGCAGGTGAGCTGAACATCCTCCCACCCTGCCCTTCCCAGGGCCCCAGCCTCTGACCAAGCTGATGGGGATGGTCAGTGGCCACCTCTCTTATGCTTAGCCTCAGCCCCAGCACACTCACACAACTAGGAGGAAATCCAAGCTGGTATGGGGCTGGGCTCTTTCTATTATGGTTCTGGGGGCTGCTGAGGGCCAGGCTATTAACTTCAGAGCCCTGGCCCAGAGAGGCTGACAGTATTACATGGGGTCACACAGCAGTGATGCTGTCTTGCTTGGGGCTGGGGAAGGAATTGCTGGCTGGGAGCACCCCAGAGAGGCAGGGAGCCCTGACTTCTCTGGCATCCTCTGTATCCAGAAATACAAGGCAGCCAAGAACCCCAGCCCCACCTCCCGGCCCGTGAGCCGTCGGTGCGCCATCAATGCCCGGAATGCTTTGACTGCACTGTTCACCTCCCATGGCGGTAGCGGCCGCCCACCCAGCCAGCCCAGAACCCAGGACGTGGCCAAAACCACCAGCAAGGTGACAGCTCAACCCCCCAACCCTCCACCCCCTCCCCGGCGCTCAACTCGCCTCAAAACCTGAGCCTAGACCCTTGTGGGTCCCTATCTACTAATGCTTTCTAGGAGTGTATATGCATAACTTTGACGTGGTTGGTGTTTTTACTCAAAATCCAATAAAAGAAGGTCATTTTGGTGATGCAGTTCCCACCAGCACTTCTGTCTGGTGAACAGGGGAAGGGGGCATCCCGGCTAGGCCGTTAACCAGGGCCCAGCCTCTCTGGGGACCATGTCGGGGCAGAACGGGGAGACCAATGACAGGCTCCCTGAAAACCAGGGACTCATGAGGCACTTGACCTTTCTAAGCCTGTTTCCCTCTTAATAATGTTATCAGGGTTAGGAAAGTGGTTTCTAAACTTCACTGTCACCCTAGAAGGTGGTCATGTGGCTACTTCCAAATTATAGATGAAGAAACTGAGGCCTAGCAAGGTCAAGTGACTTGCCAAAGGTCACAGAGCTGGCAAGTGGCCCGGATTTGACCCAGGTGTGAGCTTGATGCCCATGCTGGCCTCTCTAGCTGGACCTCGTGGAAGCTGAGGTGCAGGTGTGGGGGTCCTTGCCCCTCAGGCACTGTGGCTCTGAGTTCCTGGTTCCTCAGCAGGGCTGGCCTCCAGCCAGGCAGCGCTAGGAGGACCATCAGGAGGGGACCCACACCACACTGGCTCCTGAGTTCTGCTGTCTTCTCTCTTAAGACCCTTAGAGACAGGCAACCAGTCCAGCCTGCTAGTGGCCGGCTGGGGAGACTCAGGCCAGGAGCAGGACAATGCCAAGGTCACGCAGCCTGTCTTGGTCCCAGCTGTCTTGTTAAAGGCCCGGTACACTGGGAGGCTGAGTGCATGCCACAGGGCCATAGGCATGTCCAGCACCACTGGACCACTGGGCCACCACTGCATGTCAGCCAGGCTGGGAAGCAGCTGCTGGCCAGGGAGGGACACACCAAGTAGGGAGGAGGCCCCAACCTCACTGCACCCTCCAGTCCAAGATGGCCACAAACCCCACCCCTGGCAGATGTGCCCAGACGCCTTGACTACCCCACTCCCCTCCAGTGGCCACTGAAGTCCTCATCCCAGCACACAGAGAAGAGGGGCACAGTGGTATGGGGGACCTGTTTAATGTGGACCCTCAATCCTGGGAGGAGAGGAGGACTCAGGAGCTGGGCAGGCAGGCAAGTGGCGGGGTTGCAGGTCCCCACTTGGCCCCAGGAAGGATGCTGGGCAGTGGGGGCTGGCCCAGTGACAGACCCACCAGGAGACCCAAAGGCCAGACCGTGAGAAGGTGTCTAAGCCAGGTGGTGAGTGCTCGGCTGGTCTGGCCCAGACAGGCAGGACTGGGGCCTGGCGGGGCGTGTGCAGCCTAGAGGCTGGCATCACCAGGGGTCTCCCCGAGCTGCTGCTGGAACTCAAGGCGCGTCTGCCGGTTGGACTCCAGCAGCTCCTGAAGGCGGGCATGGAGGTGGTCATTCTTCTCCTCCAGGTGGTCTAGACAGGAGTTGATCTGGTCCAACATGGAGTTGATGGCCGCATACTCTGGGAAGAAGGGGGAAAACAGCCAAGTTCCTGTGTTTCCTCAGGACTCACACCCCACTGCCCCCCAGCTGACTCCAAAAGGGCTTGGGGCAAGTCCCTACTTCTGAGCCTCAGTGTCACTATCTGGAAATGGGTAGACAGCCCAAAAGAGGCTTTGAAGAGAGAAAACCTTAGCGCACCAACTTTCTTTCTAGGGTTAGGGTGGTCGCAGGGCAATCAGCCAGTGTCCTGCCTGGGAGCTCCTGCCCGGTACCAAGCATCCTTGCCCTTCCTTCAGCAGCTGCCTAGAGCCCACATTCCTGATTAGAGCAATCAACGCCTCTGTCCCAGGCAGGCCCTATTCTCTAGCCCTTCCCTGTCTCCCTCTGCCTTCAGGACAAAACACCCAGAGGACTCTCCCAGGCTCTGGAATGGGACCCGGCCCCTGATCTTCTCTCTAGCCCTATCTCCCAAGTCTTCTCCTATCCTCTCACCTCAGGCCCTTTGAATGTGCTGTGCCTCTATCTGGGGTGTGTGGGTTCCTCCTATCTTCCTTTCCTCTTCTCCCTGATGAGTCCCACTCACCCTTGAAGACTCAGTATGGATGACACCACAGGGACTCTTCCCAGTGTCCCAGACCAGATCAGTCCCCTGTCCTGATCCCCCAGCCTGCCTCTGCTCACTTCCATGGCCTCCCCTCAGGACTGACTGCTGTGATTATTTTGTGTGGTGGGTGTCGCCCACTCAAATAAAGCTCCTTGAGAGGTGACTGGTCTTGTGTTTGCTGTTGTCTTCCCAGTGCCCTCACTGACAAAGTAGGCGTTCGTTGAATGAATGAATGAGTGAGTGGAAGAAGCTCTGACCCCACCTCTGCCTTTGCTCAACTGTCTCTGTCACCTACAATGCTTCAGCCACAACAACCCTTCAAGGACCAGCTCAAAATGCAGCCTCCCAGATGTCTTCCCTAGTCTCCACTAGAACCTGGCACTCACTCCTCTACTGCCACTCTTGACCTGCCTCTCTGCAACGCAGTGTCCCTGAGGACCCAAGGTCTGGGCCTGTGCCCACTGCGGGACCCAGTTCTGAGCCAGCCCATGACTCAGATGCACTCAGCTGCCAGTCTGGGACCAGAGGAGAAGCAGCTGGTGGTGATGGAAAAGGCCAGGGCCCAGGAGTGTCTGGACTGGGGGTGCAAATGTGCCTGCATTCTGGGGAATGGGCACCCCTCAGAGACAAGAGTCCTGGGAATCTGCTGATCTTAAAGTCCATTCCACTCATGGTACAGATGGGGAAACTGAAGCCTCAGAAGAAAGGAACCAGCCAAGGGTCGTACAGCTGGTTGGTGACCACTGAAGCTCTGACTTGGGGATCAGGGCCCTTGGGTCTGAGTTCCAGCTCTCTGGGTTACTGCAGTCACTACAGTTCCCTTCTGGAAAAGGGGCTAAGAAACAAGTTTTCAAATGTATCTAGAGGTCAGCCACAAGAGTGCTTGCATAGCATGCATGAGGTCCTGGGTCTGACTCCCCCTGCAGAGCACACAAAAAAAGAAAAGCTCAGATAGGGTCTGGCCACAGGCAGTCATTACCATAAATATTTTGCACTGTGTCAGAGACAAACTGGAAAAAGGAATGGGGGAGGTGGGTGTCTCCACACCACTCCAGGCCAGCTATCTGTAACAAGGGTACTTAGCAGTCTTCCAGGACTTGGCTTCTCCCCACTGTCCTGTGAATCTGCCAACATTCACTTAAATGTAATCTCTGGGAGGCCCTTCCTGATGCCCCCAACAGGGCTACCAGCAGTAACCACACTGTTTGGTCAACAGTGCAAGCCTAGTAGCCCACTGCTTGTCCCCTAAGTGAATGGCCTTGTACCTTTGTTAAAAGAAGACCCTAGGTGATTAAAATGTTCTAAGCTATTGTGATGAATGCACAACTATGTGAATATACTAAAATCCTGAAACTGTGAATTATAGCTCAATAAAGCTGTAACAAAAAAAGCATACTCCATCCTTACCCCACATTTACAAAATCCTGTTAATACACCAATCCTTACTACACTAAAGAAAACGACCATAATAACCACTTACTGAATGAATACCTGCCTTATGGAAAGCGCTAAGCATTTTCCATTCAATTTTTCCTTTACTCCTGACCCATCTCAATGCAGGCGACACTGAATCATTATTCCTACATTATAGAGGGGGAAACAGCCCCGGACTGATGATTCTCCGGCCCTCCCACAGTGCTCTGCACACAACAGGATGCTCTGGAGGCAGGTTACCCCAGCAAAGCCAGATGGCTGGGGGTCCTGACTCAGCAAAGCCCCAATGAGTCGCTCCGGTAGAGCCAAGCCCGCCAAACTCGGCCCCGCCCGCGGGGGCGAAGGAAGTGGCTGGAGCAAATTCCAAATGGGCGAGCCCCTCAAGTTGCCTCCGTTTCCCCATCTGTAAAACGGGGCTGGTTGCCCACGGTTCTCCCAATGCTGCGGTTCCCAGGGATCCGTTCACCGGTGCTCGCCCTGCACCTCCGAGCCGGCGCCTACAGTTCGGGATTCACCCAGGGCCGGGTGGAGCGGGCTCTTCTGACCCTTCAAAAGCTCATCCCCGACCCGTGCCCGCTCCCAGGAGGGCACCCCTGGAAAAGCAAAGGCCGTCCCTGCAGCCCCCTGGATCACCTGCTTCCCCGAAGCCATCCTCCTCGCCTTCCGCGCCCGCCTCCACCGGCATGCCCAGGTCCCCGTTGGGGCCGGACATTGCGGGCTTGGGCGCCGCTGGGGCCGCGCGAGGAAGGAACGCGGCGGCGGTCCGCCTCTAGCGGGCGTCGGGCGGAAAGTAGGAGCAGCTGGTAGAACGCGGGGCCGGAAGGGTGGAACGCAGCTGCGGAAGGCGGCCGGGCCCCACCCCCGGGGCGGAGCCACGCGGCCCGAACTCCGCCCCGCCCCGCCCCGCAGGCAGATTCCGCCCCTCGACTCAGGCCCCGCCGGCGCCCCGCCTCACAGTCGAGCTCCGCCCACTGCCCGCTGGGCGGGGCCTGCTGCCCGCTGGGAAGCCCCGGCGGCGGAGGTCCGGGCTCGCGGCGAGGGCCAGCGAGCCCGAGCGAGCCCCGTAGAGGGGCAGGGCAGTGTGGGACCCCCCACTGCGCCCCATCCTGCCGCTTCCGCCCTCAGACACGGAGTTTCCGAGGCCTCCTGTGGCTTCGGGAAATTCCTGTTCGAAATCCCCCAGAGTCACGGAAGGTCCACCTCCTGCCCCTCACCCAGTCCCTGCGGAAACGACCCACACCCGGGTTCTGTCCTGGGCCTCCCGGTCTTCGGCGTTTCTTTTAGGGCTCTCAATAATTACATCTTGTGCGTCGAAACCAGTGTGGGCTCCAGCTCTGGACCAGAGGTAGACACAGTCCCGTTTCAAGAAGAGCCGCATAACTGGGGCAGTGGCGGGGAGCAGTGGGAGACTCCTCCTGATTGTGGCCCCCAGGACGTGTCATGTTCATAAGGAAAAGGTTTGCTGCCCACCTCCTGCAGAAAGTCATCGGGCCAGCAAGTGTCGCTCCTGCATTGGACCCAGAGATGTGTCCTGGCCAAGAGTCCAACTGAGCTGCAAGCCCATGTCCCTGGCCACTTCTCCTGCAGCTGTAGTGGCCAGGAGGACCTATGGCTACTGCAGCCTGGTCCTGGTCTCATGCTGGATGTCCCAGATGGTGACATTGGGTGGAAAACTCTCCTATACCTGAAGCCACCTTCACCATTTCACCTGAGGTAAGGGGAGGTGTAGTGGATGCTGCTATATGGGCCACCACTAACTTGTACTTAGCTGTCCTGCCTTCTTCTCCTGGAAACCAGGCTGAGTGGCAGTGGGGTCCACAGAATCAGTACCCAGAGAAGTTCAGAGGTCTCTCATTCTGATCAGTTGGTCCTCCTTGATGAAGAGGAAGACCAGAGACAGGGATTTGTCTTTCTCTCTTTGAAGAAAAAGGAAGGAGCCCTAGCCAAGGATTGCACCGGGGCAGCTCTGGCTGCAAAGAGCAGGGAAGTGTATTCTTTCGAGGGTGGGAGGGAACAGCCCTGCTCACACTCTGCTTTTAGCCCAGTGAAACCAAGACAAACCTTGCCCTCAGAACTAAACCAGAAGGCACAAACCCAACAGTTTGTGGCAATTTGTTACAGTGCCTCCAATGACCCAGGAGGGGCCTGAGAGTGTATCCTGAAAGGCCCAGCAGGAGCAGGGGACAATGGGCTAGTTACCTCACTTGGGCCAAGGTAAGGAACTGGATCTGCTGTCCAAACTGGAGCCCAGAGGTTAAGCGTGCCGCATGCAGATTCAGTCTCCTCGGCCAGCTAGAGAGCTTTGGCCAGTAGCCCCCCAGGTACCCTTCTCTGCTGGAAGACATTCTAGACTTAGGCACAGTTCTCATCCCTCATTAGAAGCCCAGCCTGCACCAACCTGGTCTGTTCAAGGAGTCTGGCCCAGACTTGTGGCACAATCTGTGGACCTGTCCTGCTTCCTGGGGAGCCAAGGCTGGGCTGATCATCACTCCATAGCTCCCCACCCCCAGCCAAGACAAAGTTTGTCTTGGTTTCACTGTGTGTCTGTGGGTGGGAAGCCTGGCTTCCTTCAGAGTCCCACCCACTCAGGCCTCTGACCATGCATGGGGAGAAGAGAGGCAGGAAGGGTATGTTCCTGTATGTGACACAGAAGGGGAGGCTATGTCTGTGACTAGTGAGGAGACAGGGGCTTGTCAGGCCTGGCTCAGGCCCAGCCATATGATGGGTGCCAGTCTGGGGCCTTAAACCTACTCCTAGGAGGCAGGATCCCTGGCAGCTTATCTCCTCTTTGCCTCTACTCACCCTCCTGAAGCTTCAGAATGTCCCCTCAGGTGGCTGGAGGTCATAGGGTGTGTGGGGGTGAGGGGCAGCCCTCTAAACTGGGTCAGCATGAACACAGTCCCCACCTATGAGTCTGGCAGGGGGCCAGGGTTATACCCTTACTCATCTTCTGCCTAGAATTGCCCTCAAACTAGGTGGGGATGCACCCATCCCTTCTTCTGTGCACTCCTGTCCTGGCTGCAGCCTCCCAGCATCCACAGGGGCCTGGTAAGTCAGGATAGATGCATCTTACAACCACTCCAGGCCCCTCCAGCTCCCTGGCCCTGTTGCGGCCAGTGCTGTGAGGCCTGTTACAATGATTTAGTATGGGCATGAGGTGTGGCGCCATCAGTGCTTCTGTTGGCTCAGGCAGCCCTTGTGAGCAAGGGCTTGTGAAGGCTGTGCTTCTCTGTAGGTGACAAGGCATGCCCAATCAAAGTAGGAGTAAGCACAGTTTTTTGGGGGTGGGTACCAAGGATTGAACCCAAGGTGCTTAACCACTGAGCCACATCACCAGCCCTTTTTTTGTATTTTATTTAGAGACAAGGTCTCGCCAAGTTGCTTAGGGTCTTGAAAGTTGCTGAGGCTGGCTTTGAACTTGTAATCTTCCAATCTTCCAACCTCAGCCTCCCAAGCCACTGGAATAACAGGCATGTACCACTGTGCCTGGCTAAGCACGATTTTGTTCTATGGAAGAGGACTCAGGGCAGTTGGCAGGGATGATAATAGCGGGAGAGAGAGGCATGAGTCCTAAAGTCTTCCCTTTATGTGGTCTCTCTGTAACCCTAACTTCAGGTTGGGTTGTGGGGACTCCATCCCTGGATTCATGCTGGTGTGAGGCCACACTTTGCCCTCCCTCCCACCAGGTTTCAGGGAGCACAGACTCAGGGACTGGTGGCATGGGTTTATTTAGCAGACAAGGAGGGCTTTATCAGAGGCTTTCAGGGCAGTACTGTACCATGAGAAGGGTCTCCCAGCTGTGAACTTGGCATTGTGGCTGGTGGGGCAGTCAGGTAACACAACAGAGATTACAGAAAGGACAGGGGTTGGAAAGCAGGAGGCACTTGAGAGAGGACATCAAAGTGAAGATAGCTGTGTTTCCAGGAACAGCGAGAGGAGCAAAGGTAGGCCTGAGACCTCCTGCCTTCTGCACCCCGGCTTCCTGTAGACGCCCCCGAGCAGACATCCTCACGGCCGGTTCAGTTGTCAATGCACTGATCTGTGGGGGAGAAAGTCCATGTTTTTGTGTGTGCACGTGTGACATCTCTCTGACTGCCAAGGACCCCTGCACTGCCCCTGGGCCACCTCAGGCCCACCCTGGCCCAGCTGCAGAAGATCTGGTGATTCCTTTCAGGGTTGGGGCAGTAGGAGGACTCAAGATGGGGCTAAGGGTGTAAGAGGCTAAGGGGCTAAGGGTGGGCTGCCCCTAGGGACTGGGCCTATGACTGCTCAGGCCTCCTGTTCACCTGCTGAACCTGGCAGCCCCTTAGCCCATGGCCCTGAGTGGCCTGGCTGGAAGAGGCCACTTGAAATACAGGACATCTCTTAAGTCCCTCCCTGGGGGGGGAGGGGGAGATGGCCCAAGATAGCAAGGCCCGGGGTATGCAGAGGAGGTGGCCCAGGACAAGGAGTGTGGGGAGGAGGTGGCTCAGGAAAGTGATCTGAGGAAACATGGGCCTGGGCCTGAAATTCTCCTCTGGGAAGTCCCCACCTAAACTGACAGGGAGGAGTGCTTGGGGCTGGGACTCCACAGACCCCAGGAAGGGGTTGGATCTTCCTGAACCTAAAGTGGCTCCCAGGGCCTAGAAAGTCCCCGTGTCCCCTTCCCTTCACCCTAGCTGGCTGTTACCTATGCGGACAGGGAAGATGATGTGGTCATCAGTGAGGCCCAGAGATTTGGCAAGGCGGATGAACCTCTCCTTCAGTTTAGAGGTCAGCTCCTTGGTTCTCCCTGTGACCAAGATGGCCAGTGAGTGGCCAACAGGAAGACACTCCATAAATATTGTTGAGCTAATGAACAAGACCCAAATTCTTTTCCATGGAGGGTGTGCAGAAAGACCTCCTCCCTGAGGGGTGTTGGAACTGGAGAAGACTTTGAGGTCTAAGGGAATGGGATCCCCTGCCCCGGGGCGTGACCAGGATCTGGGTCCCAGAGGGGATTGGGTGAGGACCCACCGTAGAGGGTAATCTTGAAGTATTCCCTGTTTTCAGAAACTTTCTTGAAGTACACCATGGCAAACTGGTTGTAGTTGGTGGCTGCCACCTGCACAATGTAACTCTGTATTTTGGGATAACCTGCAGGTGTAGACAGCAAAGGGTGGACCCTACCCTGGCCAGGAGGAGGGGGCTGTCCCCTTTCTCCTCAACGGCTCATGGGCTTTTCCCCACAGGGAAGCATCCTTGTGGAGGGTCAGGGAGGACCCTTCCAGGAGGACACTGCACCCTGGAACCCAACCCCAAGGCCCCATCTCAGAACCCACTCAGGACTCACTGCTAATGTTTCCCAGGGTGAATCGGCCAGGTGGGGAAGTTGGGACAAAAGTTCTGATCCAGTGGTCACAGCCCTGGTCCCTGTGGGAGTGAGATGGGGGTTCAGCATGGAGATGATGCAGCTTGGATCTCCCAGGCTAACTGAGGAGGGACCAGGGATGCAGCAGAATTCTGATGTCTCAGGTCAAGTTCAGCCATGACAGCCCATCTTCCACTATGGCAGGAGACCCCACCCTGCCCAGCTCAGATGGACCTGGGCCTTCCACTCGGAGCCTATATGTCCCTGCCTGGTCTGCTGCAAGGAGCCACTTGACCCTGCTCAGACATTCCTTCAGCAGCCCCTGTCCCTCCTCCAGCTGAGGAGGGACACAGTCTTCACACAGTCCCCTGCCCCAGGTACTTACCCCCTGCTCTATGCCAGCACTCCCCTAGCTCTTGGGCCAAACCTGCCCCATTCCCTGAGTCCCACCCTGCCCTCTGGAACCCCAGAGCTGAGCTCCCCAAACCAGCCTTTCTTCTGCTCCTTGTTCCTCAGATGCTCCAGCTCCAATCCCCCCTGTCACCATAGTCAGAAATCCCAAGCTGATGGTGCGCCCTGCTCCCTGTTCCAAGCCCCAACCTCCCACCTTGACTGCACCCTCACTGCTCTCCTCACCTCTCTGGAGCACCCCACTATTTCTTCCCTGCTGCTGCTGAGCTCTGATTCGGGCCCTTGCGGGAGTCCCAGGCAATCCCAGGGTGTCTCAGGCAGTCCCAGGCACAAGGTGAGGTGCCCCAGAAACTAGCTGAGAGTGCTCCCCTCCCCTTGGCTGCTCACCAGCCCCCTGCTGGGGTGGCCATGTAGGTGGCTTGTGGTTCCTGAGGCGCAGTTCTGACTCAGGGCCCACACATCTCCATCTGAGGCATCGTAGGTCCTTGACAGTCACCTCCCTAGAGGCCCTGGACGGAGGCCCTGGGGGGGGGGTCCCAGCTGAGTTTAGTTTCCCTCCTCCCACTTTTAACACTACTTTCTCTGTCTTGTTTCCACTGATGGTGTGTGTCTCTCCCTCCCGCCCTCCATGCGCGTCTGTCCTGAGCCGTGAGGGCGACGGAGGGGGAGAGGCAGTGTGAGAGCCATGAAGAGCCCCTCAGCCCCACTTGGCCCTTGGCTGTGACATCAGTCCGCCTCTCAGCCCCCTGGGAGGTCATAGCCTCACCTGAGCAGAGTAGAGGTGACATTGTAGCTGTGGTCCTCCTTCAGGTCGTAGGTGGTGCTGTACATCTTAAACTGGCCCTGTTCTTCTCTCTGAACTGCATTTCCCGCCAGGCCTACCACATACCATTTCCCCTGGAACTGCAAGGAGTTGATGATGGGCAGATCAGGGATGGCCTGGGAGCCACCCCTCGCTCTCTGTCCCTTCCGGCACCTCTGGGCAGCCCATCTAGGAACCAAGAGTCCCCCTGACTGGGCAGCAAGGCCCTGGGCTGGGTCTGCCCTGAGAAGCCCACAGGAGCTCGGGGCCTCCAGGACCCAGAGGGATCCCTGAGAGAGGAATTAGCCCTGAGTTGGCAGGGACAGGGTGACCCTGGACAAGAGAGTCTCGGTTTCCCCATCTGTGCAGAGGGACACATGTCCCCACCTTGCATGGACAGTGGGAATTATGGGAGACTAGATGTGCACCTGGAAAGATCTGTCTAGACAACCCTGGGTGGGGAGGAGATGGGTGGACCGGCATGGCTCCTCCGGGAGCCCAGGTGCAGGGCATGCTGCAGCCCCTCCTGCCCACCCCACCCAGCACTGCCCTGGACGCTTCAGCTCTCCTCCCTCTGTGCCTGCTGCCTTGGGCCCTCCCTGCGGCTGCTCCTCCAGGCTCCTTACCTGGGCATCCTGAAAGCCCTGCTGCAGGGGGACCCTGCTGAGACGTGGGGCTGGGATCAGGTTTGGAGCAGAATCCTGGGCCTGGGTCTGCAGGGCTCCCAGCAGGGTGAGGCCCAGATACAGGAGAACTAGGGGCATGATTTCAGGGCAGCCGAACCTGGCAGGTGTTGAAGGAAGAAGCAGAGAGAACAAGGAACCCAGCCTGGGGGAACTATTTATGGGCCACTGGCTGCTGCTCCCCACAGGGCGGGGTAACCTTGCCTTTGCCAAATCCAGGAAGAGTGAGGTAATTGTCAGAAACTCCTGTGGAAATGCTTGGCAAGGTTCCTGCCCCTTCCTCCCTCTGGTCAGGATTATGCAAATGGGGGGAAGGAAGGCCAGCAGGGAAGGGGGACAGGAGGGACATTCCCAGAAGGCCACAGTCTGGCAGGGACAAGGGTTCCCTCTGGGCATTCTTTGTGCACTCTCCCTTTATGTGATTGGCCCTGTCTGAGGTCAGAGCTCAGATCTGGACAAGCTGTCATCTCTGACCCCAGGAGCCTCAGCCCACCTAGTGTCTAGGGAGGGCTGTGGGTGGCGCTGCCCTCTCTCTGCACCCACTGGCAGGGAGAAGGTCCCTTTCCATAGCCCCGTAATGCTTTCTGCTCCATGTGAGGGTCAGGGGAGTGCAGGGCAGTGGGACACAGGCACTTTAGACAGAGAAGGATGAGGCTCCTGCTGAGCCCACTGAGCCCAGACCCTGGCCCCTCGCAGGAGCCCTGGTCAGACCCTGGTATGGAATGAGATGCCTGAGAGACTGGCCTAAAAATGTTCCTGGCCCAGGAGTGCTCCCACCTTGAGCACCCTCCACCACCCTCCACCACATTCCCTTCCCCATTTTTCAGGAGGGGACAGAACAGCAGCCCACCCCTCAGGGCCTGGGCAGCTTGTGTGAGCCTAGTGGGTAGGGATGCCAGGCTCAGCATGTGGGCACAGATGAGGCTGCTGAGGCTTCAGTCCCGGTTCCCATTGGGGCCCTGATAAGAGGACCATGGGGAGCTGGTGGGAGCCCCAGGCAAGGCGGACTAGTGGGTGGCCATGAAAGTGGGCTCTATTCTGCTCCCTTGGGACACAGGGAGTACAAATATTTGGCCTTGTCCATCTGTCTGTCTCTGGGCCATGGAACCCAGTGGCCCAGGCCTGAGGTCCCAGAACCATCCCTGACCCGTGTTTTGTCCCAGCGGGAAGTTGTTTCCCCACAGGGAGGCTGGCCAGCATCCTTGAGGGGCAGTGATGGGTTCCAGGCCCTGTGCAGTGTCCCCCTGAGAGGACTCACCATTTGGGCTGTGACTGTCCTGGAGGCCTGACCCTGAGGGTTCACTGGCCCTCCATGGGACTTAAAGGGCCCTTATTGGCTCTAACCTACCTGCTACTTGGGACCCCTAGTCTGGGCTCTGAATCAGCAGATCAAGAGAGGGACTTTGGGGGGGTCCTGAACTGGTGGGAAGGGTGCTGCCTCGGCATCCCCGGTGCCAGAGACCCCAGCTGCACTCACTGCCTCCGGCCCTGCCCTGCCCGCTGGTCCCGATGGTGAAAGAGCAGGAAGTGAAGGTGAGCAAAGCTGAGGGGACGACGACGAGGCCACTAGAGCCTGTCCCCACCTCCCACCCCCTCTCCAGCCCCAGGGGCTCCACCCCTGCCATTCCCGTGACCGTGACCGTGGCTGCTGTTCTCAAGGGCTGGATGCACACAGTGGAAGGAGCACCTGCCCAGCACGCACGGGGCCTGGGCTCCCTCCCCAGCACTCAAGGCGTACTCAAGAGTCTTCTGTGACCATCAGATGCGGAGGAGACAGGGCGGGGGCGGCAGAGTCCCCCCAAATTTTAAGTAAGTAAGAGGCAGTGTCCTGAATCACAGAGGAGTTGCTGGGTAGAATATTCCAGACCCTGAAAGTCAGGGGGCTGAGTGATCAGTGCTCCCAGGTGGGGTGGGAGTGAGGCCCACGGTGTGGACCTCCTGTTCGGGTTAGGACTGACTCCAAGGCTCCAGGGTGGACGGAACACTGGAGGCTCCAGGTACCACCCACTCCCTTCCCACTGAGCCCCATTCCCCTGGCCAAGGAGGGGACTCAAGGGCTCACATGGCTCAGAGCTGGGGGCAGTTACTGGGCCCTGTGGCTTTGGGAGTGGTCTGTTCTACGTGGGTGGCACGGTGCCCACAGAGTGCCAGGCCCTGGTCCATCTGCCTTCGGCCCCACTGCTGGTTTCTACTGTGACCCCTGAGCTGCTCCCGCAGGGCCACCCACACCATCTCCCCCCAGTCTCTCTCCAGGAAGCACAGACATCCCTGGTGGGCCCTCAACTAGCCATACAAAAGCTTTGGGGCCAAGACCTTTCTGGGAAAGGCCAGGCCTGGGCCTCCCAAGTCCTGCTCTGGGCCTGCTTAGAAACAGCAGGAGCTTGAACACTGTCCACACCTGAGTTTTCTATGGCCAGAAGCCAGAACCCTGGTTGTTCCCAGGGCCCCACCCAGGTCTAATCCACCCCTGAAGGCAGTGAGATGCTTCCTGGTGCTTCTTGCATCTCAGGAATCCAGTCTGACCCCCTGGTCTGGTTTCTAGGAGCTCATGGACAGTGTTCAGCCCTGGAAGAGACTGGGGCAGAGGTAGACCCTCTGACCTGTCTGAAGGGCAGTACAGGACGAAGCAGGCTTCCCAGAGGCAGGGCCATGCCTGAGGAGCCTCTAGGCAAGAGGCCCTAGGAGGCCCAGTCATGGCCCCGGGAACTCCTGGTGTCCATGGAGGGGCCCTCTTTGGTCACTGCAGGTCCAGTGGCACCCTGCTCCCAGACAGCCCAGGATGGGCATGACTGTTCCATGTGAGGTGCTTGCCCCCCAGGGACCTGGCTGCAGTCTTCCATTTCCAGAAGTGGCTTTCTAGTCCCCTGCTCATCTCTCACCCCTGGGCTCACCAGGGGCCTCTAGGACCTCCGGGTTCCTGCCCCTTCCACCCGATGGGGACCCCACCTATGGGGACTCTGAAAGGTAGACCCTCCTAAACCTTCAATATGCACTGGACGTCCCCGCTCCAGGAAGGCCCTGGAGCCCATTGGACAGGGCAGCAGGCCCTGCTGCTCGAGAGCTGGACCTCCCCCGCTGGTGCTGGTCCTCAGGTACTTGGCCCAGGCTGCCCCCTAGAGGGGTGCTCCTGCCTTTTGCTCTACAGCCTGGATGTCTGTGCAGGTAAAAGGGCCCACAGGAACCAGGGGCACAGGGGACTGGAGGACACAGCTCCGAGCAAGGTCAGCAGAGGGCCTTCCATCCTGCGGGGATGGTAGGTGGCTGCCGGGCTTTCCTGCAGCTGGTCAGGGACCTCTGCCCGGCATGGCCCTGGTACTGGACAAGACATCTCTTCCTCTCAACTCTGCCCCTCTCCTGCCTGAAGCCCTGCCAGGTAGCCCAAGAAAGGGGCTCATTTCTTGCCAGCTGCCTGTGCTGGGAGATGAGCTGGGATCAAAGGAGCCGGCTCAGCACTAAACTAAGAAAACGGTGAAGAAATCACGCAACACACGGACATGAGTTTCTCCGATTGAGGGTGGGACTGCCCTGCGACCTTAAGGGTCAGCTTCCACGCTGGACAGCACTGGGAAGAGAGCGTGAACTCAGAATCTCTTTATTTTTATAGTGGGGACACACAAAGGATGGAATGTTCTTCACCAAATAAGGCAGGAGGTAAGGTTTCCAAAGTGGAGTCTTGCTCGGTGATGTCTTGTGGTCAGCAGATTGGTTGCCATCTTGGCAAGTCACACCCATCTCAGGTGCTGTGCGGGATCACAGGCGGAGTGAGAGGAAAGGCACACTTATGTGGCACAGCCCAATCAGCGAGCAACGCCAGACCTGTCCCCTCATATCACTCCAATGCGCATAGCTCTCACACACAGCCCACAGATGGCTCGCGACATGTCCATCACAGCCACTCCTGGATAGCCCTCTGACTTGCTGCTCTCTGGGCCCTTGGCTGGGCCTCTGCTGGGCACCATGCAAGGTGGCTTGGGTAAGAGTACAGGGCTGGTTCTACCCTGTGCCCTGGGAGCTCATGCCAGGCCAGGAGAATGCCCATCCCAGGGAATAAGGTCATAGATGCCAGAGGGTTAGGAGACCAGGTATCCAAGATGTTGTCCCTGGCTGCAGAATCGTGGCACTTGGGCTTCTGCCTGGAGTCTCCTTAGGTACCCCAAGGGGATGGCAGCCCTTCTGCCCGCTCCTTATCCCAGAGGTGGAGAAAGGTCGGAGGCCCCAGCTCAGGCTGTTCCTTGGCCCCAAGGTTCTATTTCAGACGGGGGCAATGTCAGTGGCTGAGCCTCCACTCTGGGGCAGGGGGGAAAAGCAAGGCTGTGCTGGGCAGTGAGGACCAGGGTGGGTTCCCCAGGGACACCTGTCCACCTAAGGACGAGAAGCCCACCTGGGCCGGTGGGGTGAGGGCAGGGAGGGTGGGGAGCATGCGGTGTGGGGTGCCAAACTGTTGGGTGCGGCCGTCTCTCTGTAGCCTGATTCTCAGAAGGTTGGGTCAGAGGTCTGGAAGGAAGGGTGCATCTCTAGGGACAGGACTTGGTGGCCCAGACCTTGGGCTGGAGGGAAGACCACCCCCTGCTCCCTTCCCATGACTCTCAGTTACCTCTCAGGAATGGGACCCCCTGCCTTTGATGGCAGGTAGGCTAGAGGTCACAGGACACAGGCCTGGGGGCCTCCCTCTGAGTCCAGAGTCCTTCAGGCCTTGGTTGGGTACTGGCCTCCCCCAGGGTCACTGCAGCCCCAAGTGCCTCTCCCGAGGAGCTCAGGTGGCTCTGCCAGGACTGGAGAGGCTTGTGGCTCCCTGGTTTCTATTTACATCCCTGGGTCTCCCTCCTGTCCTGAGCCACCTCCTCCTGACCCTGCTGGGTCACCTGTTCCACGACACCTCCTCCCATGATGCTGAGTTTTCTAGATTCAGGCAACTTCGCCCGCTTCCTGCAGCCCCTGTCTCGGCCCACCTCTTCCGCACCTCCATAGGTCCCCTGACTTTGGCTTTCCCTCAAGAACATTCTTTCCTAACTGTGAATTTCCTAATGTCACCATCTTCTGCAATCTGGATAGGCCGAGAGTTTCCCAAATTATCAAATTACTACAACATATTTCCACATACTTGTTGGCTTAGAACCACACACTCAGCTGGGTCCGGT